AAATTTAGCCAATAGCAATTACAAATTTTACGTAGTTACTATGTATTGATAAGCGATTATACTCTTGATGACGTGGTATAACCGTTTTGGTGTTTCGCCTCCTCCAACAATGTGAACTATGTCATGGTAACGATAGTTTTAACATTTGTCAATAAACGTCAAAAAAAATTTAAACGTCAAAAAAAAATTAATTCATTATGTAATCGTACTCGGAAGTATAATCGAATATTTTCTATGCTCTTGTGATATTATAACTGATTATATAATTCAGAGCTTGAACCGAAGCGTTCCATTTTTTTTTTTGACGTTTATTGACAAATGTTAAAACTATCGTTACCATGACATAGTTCGCATTGTTGGAGGAGGCGAAACACCAAAACGGTTATACCACGTCGTCAAGAGTATAATCGCTTATCAATACATAGTAACTACGTAAAATTTGTAATTGCTATTGGCTAAATTTCTAATGGATTATATAATTTACAATACACCATCACCATAAATATCAACGAATAGAAATTAATTATACAACATCCGCACGATAACAAAGGCAACAGTATACTAACGTGACATGAACGTGAAAAGCATTCTGAGGCAGCGGTTCACGCATGTCTTGGTTGACTCGCTTGGCACGCCATTGAATTGCGGCTCTCTCTGACAACCATATTCACGAATTGCAATCGACAATCTGAAACTTGTAATTTTTTTGTTAGCGTATTCAGACCTGTGTTCGTAGGAAACTTTTTTGGTTAAAATGACCGTTAACTGTTGGCATCGTATTACAGAAACACCTTACATATTTATTATTATTATTATTATTTTTATAGGCTTCAGTTTTTTTTTTATTTTAAGATCATGATGTGTCAGGAACTTTTTAGAATATAATTTCTTTTACGATTTTTGAATAATTATTTAAAATAAATTATTTATATTTAAATTATAAATATTTAACATTCTTACATATCATGTGCAATAAAAATGCAAATATTTCATTAAGTTCAATTTTATTACCTACATTTCTTTACAAATATCTCTAAATTTGAATAATACAATACATAATACTCTAATTGACTAGATACATTTATATATTTTATTCTCACAATATCAAGAATGTTTCACAGAATTTTATTGCTAACATTTTATTAACATTATCAAACCAATACCGAGTGGATTTTCTTTAGTCATTGATGTAAAACTAACAAAAAATAATTTCCTTTGGAACATATTTTTGTTGGTTAATGATGATACTTCAATTTACAGTAACTGGTTCATACATTTACGGTTCATTATTTAATTGTTTTGAAGATCTCATATTTTAAGTCAAAAACTCTTTCAATATAGGTATCTGCACATTCATCATAAAACTTAAAATAACAAATTTTCGATCTTAAAGAAAGAAGTCCAAGAGGTGCCAGTTTTTTTTAACACATGGTAATAGAAATAATAAACTTTTGTTAAATTTAAAAATATTAATTCTTTCAAAATGCTTTCCACCGGTATAGCTTACAACCTAAATCACCAAATCAAATTTTTTCTGGTTACCTCTATAAATATTAACGAAACCATCTGTATATATTTTTGTATAAGAATAATTTCCTTAATAATGGTAGATACATCTTTTCTGTAAAAGATTTTTACATTCAATCACACTTTGAGATCGTTACATTTTGGTACGAGAATGGTTTAATAAAACAAGAAAATTGATCTCATCTCAGATCTCATTTAAAAATTTAAATTATTAGATGCTATATGCATCAGTATATTTTCAACTTATACTGCTTAGTTTCATTTAAGAGAATATACAAAATTTGCCACCATTTTGACTATTCTTTTAAGTATGGACTTGGTAATAACAAATATTGAAATATTTCAAATATGGACAGGTACAATATTAATCTGAATACATTTTTAACGTAGCCACACCCTTTCTATGTTAAATCAAATTCATGACGATTAAATGAGAACTTGTAGGCTTAATTTAGCTTGAATATTCCTTTTCTTATAAATTTAATACACTTTTTATAAAATTGTAAAGTAAAAAATAAAGAAAAAACATGAAGTTCTCAAGCAAAAAAAAATAGTTTCCTTATAGAATAATTTCTAAGTACAGTCTTGTGTCATAATAATAAATATTTTGATTATGACAAGTTAGTATGGTTGATTTTTTCGATCTCTTATCTATGTTATATCCTTAAGTCAAATGAAGACTCACAGTATTTTAAAAATACGAGTTTATAAAATTTGTTAAATGAATGGATCTGTGCTAGATTATAATTATTTGACGAGAAACTGCAAAGATTCTTTAAATTGTAAGAGATAGAGGGTGGCTCAAGTTACAAGAAAATTGAAAGTTTTTTTGAAATCTCGTTCGAATTATTTCAACTAGTCCCTAGGATAACGAAAAAAACTGGACAGGTTTTTTTATTTGGTGCGATTGATCATTTTTACGAAGATCATTTAATGATATTTAGTACCTAGGCATTATATAGGTGAGATAGACGCCATATGGCTATAAGTTTTTCATATGGCTAAATGAAGAAAACAATACGAATTCAATGATATGTGGCAACTGTATGAAGTTTCATGTTCAGCGACCACATGATTAAATTTAAATGTTACCTATTATTATTTTACCGGTACATGATTTATCAAAATTGTTTCGTTGCTATTTTGTTTTGATTTGATAAAATTAACTCTTTTACATTATGAACTTTCACCACTGTAGTCAGTAAGATATTTATGACCAGAAATCAAATTTCGTTCAATTATCTTTATGAAAATTTAGTTATTAGATTAATTTTTCAGTTTTTTTATTATGCTTTACAAACTAGTTGAAAACATATCAAATCAAGAACAGTTTCCATGAAATATTGGGCAACTTTTCTGTCATTTGAACCACTCCTATCTTTAATAGTTTACAATATATCTCTGGTTCCGATTAAATAGTTTTAACCTCATATACAGGGTATCCTGAATTTTGATACGAAAATTCAGGGATTCGTAGAGTAAGCAAAAATAAAGGCACTGTGTTTTATACACCTATTTTCGAAACCTCTCTGTTTTTGAGATACAAAGTTAAAAAGAATAGTTACATCTCTAATTATAAGTCTGAACAAATCAAGTTACTGAAATGAAATATACTAGTCACAAAACATTAATAAAATGTAATATAATATAAAAGCAATTTTCAACTCAAACCAGTAGCGTGGATATGAGGTCTCCTATATTTTTTCGTCATTTTTAAATTAATTTTATTTTGAATGAAAATAATCTCGTTACTTCTTGCATACCTTTGGCACAAATGATAAGTTTTAAATATGATATATCTAGATAAATTTAAAATTATACAAGGTGTTAGACAACAACTTATCAATGATGAAGAAGCGTTTTCCTCGTCTTATTTTAAATTTTTTCTATGTGGGTATTGGCTCTTCCAACCTCTTTGAAGATGTATTGTGGCACAGGAACGCCATTTTGAAAATATTTTGTAAAATCATGTATATAAATTCAGCATCTATTTAAAACGTATAATCTTTATAAATTATTAGTTTGCTCCAAAACGGTAAATGCTATCCAATATAAGTCTAGAGATGATTTTCATCCAAAATAAAAATTTGCAAATCAATTTTTTTCCCAGTTGTGTAACATATTTTTTGAACAAATGTAACCAACGCTGTTCATCACTGTAAAAAAAAATCATTCAAATTCACTCAATTTTACTCAATAATGCATCAGTTTCTGTCCACACCGGATTGAGTGAAATTTTCATTCCATTAGTATGAGTACAACTAAAATTTTATTAATTAAACTACTGCAACAGAAATGAGTGAATTTTACATAAATAAAGTTCCTCTATCAAGTAAGAGACATTTGACTCTATTCTGAGGATGTAAAACCAATTAAGAGTTGACTGTTTCTCTAATATGATTTAAATTTATCTATTATTGAGTAACTTTGTTATGTGCTATGAAAATTCCCGAGGGGTGCGGCGCCCTAGAGCCCCCCCGCACCACCCGCCGCTGTTTCCATTCCATTAATATCTGAAGTGGTTTTGCATCACTTTATATTCTTTTTAAATTTTGATTTAAATATCATTGTATTAAAGTCATAAACTAATAAGATGTCATTAGTGGTTTCTATACAGATCTGTTTCAGACACAATATTTTAGGTCTGGATTAAAAGAATTGGTTAACAGATCGGACGAATAGATTGCCATAACCTATATTACACGTTACTGATACGTAAGTAAGTATAGGTAATAATTTAACTATCCGTTTATTTAACTATTAATAAATAAAATATTAATCGAGGCTCAATATATAATTATTTTTAATTATTGTAATCGAACCATTGCATTTAAACACAATTGTAACCAAAATAACGGGATAAATGGATGCTTGTCTAGCACTACACGCCATACACCACGCCACGAGATGACCTAATGAGGATGATGGGAATAGACAAAGACAATGAACGACAACCATAGAATCTGGTGGGGTCACTCAATAATAAGGACATTTATTCCGATTTAGGTACAAGTGTACCAAATATGAGTTTATCTGGAGTACCTATTTATGTAGCGGATACAATACATTTCCTCACACCGACTTTTTCACAGTGTTTAGAAATTTTTTAGAAAACCTTAACATCATGTTTGTTTATGTTTTAAAGGTTTTAAAGCTAATTTAAATAAATTCAAAAATTGTTCTTAAAAATCCCATCAAAAAGTTAAATATATATTGTGTAACAACATTATTTGACTTCAAATAATTTTTGGTATCGAAGAACATTATTTGACTTCAAATAATGTTCTTCGATATCAAAAATATAGGTACACAAAATATATCTAACTTTTCCAAAACAAGTGCCATTATTTTTACTTATTCTATAGGTTCCTAAATTTTCCTTGTTAAAATTCGGGACATTCTGTATAACTTTGGAAAATAATATTAATTAAAAAAATCCTCGTACCACCCACACGCTACAAAGCAAAAACATCCTACACCGTTGGCCCAGACTCTCCACCATTCCCATCACTGTGCCTGGCGTTCTCGGCCTGCAACGCCTGTTGTTGTTGCAGGAATTTCGCCGCAGCAGGGAAGCCTTGCAGGTCGAAGCCGGGAGGAGCAACTATCGCCGCCCCCACCGTTCCAGCGGTTCCTTGGAGGTATGCTATGAGTCTCTTCATCTCCTCCAAGGCATTGGCCTGCATCAGGATATAGTTCTTGGCGAGGAGGAGGGTGGCTATTTTGGACAGTTTCCTGACGGACGGGGAATGTGCGTATGGAATAACAGCCCTGCAAATTTGTAATCGGTAATTTTTTTTATCTATGCAAGATGTTTTTGAATAGGCGTTGCAAGTGTTAACAGCAGATAGGACTCGTGAAAACAATAATAATTATTATATCGATACAAGGTGTCCAATATTGTGTATACCTGGATCTACATAGAAATGGATTAACTAAACTTACTTCTATCTAAAATTGCTTCGATTGGCCCTAGAGGGCGTCAAAGTCGGCAGAAGGTTTTGATTTCTTCCACGTTACTCTAAAATACCTACTTTGTTTGATATAATTCGGATTGAATTATTATCAACAATATGTTTATTTGATAATAAAACTAAATAATGTTTTCTGAATATATCGTACCATGGCCATGTTAGCAATAGGCCGGCCAGCAATAAAAACGGGCGCGCGGCAATGGCACCACGGTTAAACGTGAATCCCATGCCGCGCGCTCCAACAGTGTCTAGGTAGTTTAGGTACGTCATAATATAAAACTGAAACAATATTTTTACCAATACTTCGTAGGTAATTATATACCACTCTTTATAAAACTACAGTTAATACTACTCCTAGATATATGTGCAGAAGATTGAAGTAAGAAAATATATTATTGTAATATTTACACACTACATAAATATATTCTGTTTTAAAATTAATAAACAAGCTCTATTTTACAAAAAAATATTAACTGTCTTACATTTTTTCGATGGTTTTAATATAATTAGGCCCCGAATTTACAAAAAAATGAAAATATACAAAATCTTGCAACTAGACAAAACTATATAAAATGGAACTACTCTTAGATTATAAGTGATGAAAAAAATTCAGAAAACATATATACAGATGAAATATTTCGCGGAGACGTAGATCGGACTCTATACTATCGACCTGTCACTATTAAGTTAGGAAAAAATAGTTGATACTCGAGCTACGAGAGTTGGCCGGCGGGCCGTTCTTGTAAAAATTGAGTCGAAATATGTAAGAGTGCCGGCCAAAAATCAGAAAATTCAGTTTTTGGCAAAAAAACCTACAAGGCCCGTGCGTACCACCCTTTCCTTCATAGCCGACGGAAAAAGTACGTACATTTGGCAAAAATTCTATTTTTTTCGTTCAACCGACTCCCGCGGCATCCCGGCCAAGCCGAGTGTCGTTTTATGGCTGGGCCGTTACACAAAAAAATACGCAATTTTTACAGAAAATACCTACGCCGTTCCCTTCTAGGAATACGTGGCCGTCATCGGAATAGAAAAAAACAATATTTCGGGGCCCGGATTAGCGGCTGTGGGCCCTCAATTCGATGGCATTTTCTGAAATAGGAACTATTTTTAGGTCTCTGTGAAATATTTCGTCTGTATGTAATTTTTTTGATTTTTTTTCAGCACTTAGAAACTAAAAATAGTTCCTATTTCAGAAAATGCCATCCAATTGAGGGCCCACAGCCGCTAATCCGGGCCCCGAAATATTGTTTTTTTCTATTCCGATGACGGCCACGTATTCCTAGAAGGGAACGGCGTAGGTATTTTCGATAAAAATTGCGTATTTTTTTGTGTAACGGCCCAGCCATAAAACGACACTCGGCTTGGCCGGGATGCCGCGGGAGTCGGTTGAACGAAAAAAATAGAATTTTTGCCAAATGTACGTACTTTTTCCGTCGGCTATGAAGGAAAGGGTGGTACGCACGGGCCTTGTAGGTTTTTTTGCCAAAAACTGAATTTTCTGATTTTTGGCCGGCACTCTTACATATTTCGACTCAATTTTTACAAGAACGGCCCGCCGGCCAACTCTCGTAGCTCGAGTATCAACTATTTTTTCCTAACTTAATAGTGACAGGTCGATAGTATAGAGTCCGATCTACGTCTCCGCGAAATATTTCATCTGTATATATGTTTTCTGAATTTTTTTCATCACTTATAATCTAAGAGTAGTTCCATTTTATATAGTTTTGTCTAGTTGCAAGATTTTGTATATTTTCATTTTTTTGTAAATTCGGGGCCTAATTATATTAAAACCATCGAAAAAATGTAAGACAGTTAATATTTTTTTGTAAAATAGAGCTTGTTTATTAATTTTAAAACAGAATATATTTATGTAGTGTGTAAATATTACAATAATATATTTTCTTACTTCAATCTTCTGCACATATATCTAGGAGTAGTATTAACTGTAGTTTTATAAAGAGTGGTATATAATTACCTACGAAGTATTGGTAAAAATATTGTTTCAGTTTTATATTATGACGTACCTAAACTACCTAGACACTGTTGGAGCGCGCGGCATGGGATTCACGTTTAACCGTGGTGCCATTGCCGCCCGCCCGTTTCTATTGCTGGCCGGCCTATTGCTAACATGGCCATGGTAATATATCGTTTCATTGTTTATACTTATTCGGTTTGATACGACAGTATTTTTTTTTGTCTTCGTCCTCTGAGGATGAAAAAAATGAACCATTAATGTATCAACCTAAATAAGTTAAAAAGCTTATATCTAAAAAAATAATGTGTTTCTACTTTTATTCTATTCTGTTGCATTCGTATCTTAAGATCACTTGACACGGGAAACGTTTGACTGTCCATGGCTGTAGGTGTGAGATTGTTAATTCCGTAAAAAATTTGAGACACATGAATAAAAAGTATAAGACTAAATTATCTTTAAAGCGTTATGAATCCAATTGATATTTGGTATTTAGAACCTATAATTAATTTTAGTTTAGCAGATAGGTGCTAGATGTCTAACCTCAACTCATCCAAGGCGTCGTTTAAATCGTGCATTCGTCTCCTTTCCCGTGCGTTGATATTCAATCTTACGCTTTTTCCTTGACGATTTTTTCCTTTGGAGGAGGATGGGTTTTGTGGGTGTTGTGCTCGAGATTCCTGAGATCTGAAAAATAAAATCAGATGGTATTTAGAAAGTTCCTGTTGGTACAAGTAATTGCTTACGATATACGGGGTGATTCACAAATGGTGACCAAAAATGAAACCTCGTATTCTTTGGTGAATTTTAAAGGGAGTCTCCCCTATAAAGCTTTTATCTAGGACGCTTCGTTAAAAAGATACAGGGTGTTAAACTTCAAAAAATATTTTTAATTCATTTAAATAATTTAAAAACTAGTAAGTGAAGTAATTTGAAACTGGGCACATGTATTTATGTAAACATTGTCCAAAGTGTGAGTCCTAAAATTTACATGATCCAGTGGCGGAGATACAGGGTATCGGTGGCATATTTTTCTAAATAAAATACCTATCCAAATCCGAAAGATTGACCACCATTTTCCAAACATCCTGTACATTTAATATTTTTCTAATAACTAATAATTTAACTGATCTGGTTAATTTTTAGCACTTATTATACATGGTGTTTCATAATGATCAGCAAATATTTTAAGGAGGTGTTTAGAAGGTAATTTTAAGGGGGTGGTACTTTTAATATATTTTTTCGATTTGAGCTCCCCCCCCCCCAGAGAAAATATTAAAATTTCAAAATGGCCGAAAAAATTAGCTTTAATTTTTTTTTCACGAAAACGATTAAACTTAGAAATTTGAATTATTAACAACTAGTTGACTGGTATTTTTTGGTAGTCTTTTTTTCTGGTTTATGTCTAAATTAAAGAAATTAGCACCGCTTTGTTTTATTTCTCACAACTTTTTTCAACGTTAGCCAACAACAAAAAAAGCTTTTAATACTATATTTTATTTAGAAACTTTTTTACTCTTCCCATTTTTTCGTACACTTAATGGTTTACGGGTACAAAATAAATTATTGTACCTCATTCATTCATTTCATGTCATTTTTGACATACTTTTTGCAAAAATTCTTTTTTATCAATAGGAAAAGCTAAGCAAATATGAACTAAAAATTTAATAAAAAAAATAAAAGCTAATTTTTTCTGCCATTTTGAGATTTAAATATTTTCTCAAGGGGGGGGCTGAAATCGAAAAAATGTTTTAGAAGTACCCCCCTAAAATTATTTTCTAAACATCTCCTTCAAATATTTGCACATCATTATGAAACACCCTGTATAGCCAATAGCAAATGCAATATTTGTTGAATTTTACACAGTTCTCAAACTTGTATATCTCAAAATATTTGATTGAAACAAACAGACTAAAAGACTGTCAATAACGAAAAAGGAGATAAAAATTCGAATTCATACAAATTTTTTATTGAGAACACATTTTAGTGAATTTAACATATCCTAACAGACTAGGTTCAAAACTATATAAATAAGTCCAACAGTATTATTCAACAAAAAATAATTTTTGGACTTATTACAATTCCATAAGCTTATCCGTAAGCTTGAGCACTTCAAGAAGCTCTTTAAATAGACTTTCTTAAATTTCAAAATTGTGTATATTTTGAATCAATCCTATTATTTCTCATTTCTGGCAAATAAAAAATAATGTACTATGAACGAAGAGAACAGGTTAACTCCAATTCCACAGAAAACTAAAAGAAAAAATGTGGTTTTTAAGTGATATCTAATTTGAACCAAGAAGGAATTTTAATTGAGACCTAATATATTATTGTTTTTAATTATAATTTGTAATTAAATCACTGTATTAAATACAATTTTCATCAGGATAACTGAATATCTCTATTTATAGCCACCTTTCACACGTGAACCTGTCCGAGATGACCTTGTAAGAAGACGATGGGAATAATAGATAACGCACATAGTTAGGTAATGGTAGGGACAACTCAAAATTGAGGACATTTACCCTGATTTAGGTACAAGTATACTAAATACGAGCTTATTTCGGCTACTTACTTAACTGACACCTATTTTAAGTGGAATTAATCAAATATTATCTATCATAAGAGTAAAACTGTCAAAATAGTCAAGATTAAGTGAAAGTCAATAATTCCACTCAATGGATTCGCTCAATACATTTAATGTTTCACTCATGCCAGTTATGTACACTGTAGGTTAAATGTCATGTAATTTGTAGTTCATTTGTTAGATTGATATTACTACAAAAAAGTATGTTATGGTTACGAACTTTGTAATTTGTCCAGTACAAGAAATAAAGCGTTCGTATGAAAATTCTGCGTTCTGCTAAATATATAACTCTAACAAATATGATGATAGATTTAACAGTACTTCCAATGTTAGAAGCACCACAAAGCCAATTATTTTGCTCTAATTTAAGTAAAAAATAAATTCTATACATTTCTTAAACCCGACGCCACTGGTTACATCTAATTAAAATTTGTGACTTTTGTTGGGCAACTGAACTAAATCGAGTTTAAATCTATTTCTTTAAATGTCCTCAATTTATTAGACATTCTATTTTTGCAGAGTCGTGTTAGAGGAAAAATGATGGTGGTCAATGGTCTCTGTTTATTTTGGCGACCTGATAACTAAAATACATGTTACATTTACTTTTACTTCCATTACTTGACGATACTGACTAACAGACAATTACCTGTGACCACTCTGACTGGAACAACCCGGATCGGGATTATTTTCATCCGAGGGAGGTCCGTGACTGGCCACGTTCGGCTGACAGCCCTGGAAGTAGAATCCCCCGAGACCCACGGCCCCCAGAGGGGTCCTCCTGCCGGGAATTTGACTGTCTTCGGTGGAGTTGGACGAGAAAGGTGCAAAGCCAACTTGATCCAAAGCGGTGACCGCTTGAGACGAGCTGGGACCAGTTGCTGAACTGCCCTGCGAGTGATTAATCGGCTGTTTAATAAATTATGAGGGGTTGGATGTTAACTAGATGTTACCACTAAAGGGGTTGATGCTCATGAATTCATAGCACTTCGATAGGCTCGTAAGCAAGGTCGATTTTGTGCTAGTCCAAATACAGGGTGAGTCATTAATAATGGTACACGGCTTAATGGCAGATTATTTACGTGAAAAAATTGCGATTGAGCCAAACATGTCTTCATCAATTGTTGCTCCTTTTTGGTTTTAACAGAGGCTGTTAAAGTTGAAAAAATATTTTCGTTTTTTTCTATATTTTAAGTATGTACGTACCGCTTGTTTTAAAAATTTGTAGTTTTACGTTTTTTGAGGTGGCAAATACGAATATGCAAACAGTGTTGGGGTCACGTCTAGAGAGCGCTGGTTATACTGTCTTATCAATGTAAAATATGTCTAACTTACCGTATTTTTCAATTTTGAATTTTTTAACTAGAAATTATTGCACTAAGTTCAATTCTAAATAAAATAAACTTTTTAAGTTTTGGAGATTCAGCGGGAATTAAATTAGAAAATTATTATTTCCAAAGTAATAGGCAATGACATAAAAATTGACAGCTGTCAATACAATACCATATTGTTTCTGTCAATTCTACTCAATTTGAATGGAAGTAGTTTTTTTCTTGTCTTTATTTTTTAGAGAAGTAAGAGAACATCTTAATAGAAATTTCCCGCACCGTTGGATTGGACGCGGTAGCGAAGTACCTTGGCCTTCACGTAGCCCTGATTTAAATCCGCTGGATTTTTACTTTTGGGGCTATCTTAAATCTCTAGTTTACAAAGACAAGAACAACTGTGGACAAATATTTAAGAATCAGTTCATTTTATCAAACAACATAGAACTTCATTTAACGTCAGATAAAATTTAAATAAAAAGGCTAAGAAAGTGCATTGAAGTGGCTGGTGATTGCTTTGAGAATATTTTATGATTAATAATTAATAATATGGTGTTGTAGTGACAGCTGTCAATTTATTATGTCTTATGCAAACTACTTTGGAAAAAATAATTTTCTAGTTTAATCCCCGCCGAATCTCAAAAATTTAAAACATATGTATCTTGCAAACGATTGAGTTTATCGATAAGTATATCTTTTTTACTTAGAATTGAACGCAGTTCATTAATTTATAGTTAAAAAATTCAAAATTGTAAAATACAAAAAGTTAGACATATTTTTACATTGATAGGTCAGTATAACCTGCCATTAAGCTGTGTACCATTATTAATGACACACCCTGTATATTCATTTTCAATTAAGTGTGGTAATTAACTGGGATCGTCTAATAACTGTGATAGTATGTACAAGAGTGTTTACAAGAATTGCTTGAGATGTTGTCTGTAGATAATTATTTACTTGTGACATTTTCGGTTACTTATTTGATTTAATTGAGTATTACTGCCACACTGTAAGGAAAAAAATTAATAAATACGCATTTTAAATAATTCCATGAATTTTTATTTTGTTGGTTGATTATTCTCAAAGATGGAATAAGTAATAATAGAATAAATATTTTATATCTTTTACCTCTACGGAAAATAAATAAACAAAATAAAGAAACTGTCACATTTGAGTTTTAAGTCAATTTAGATCGAAAGTTTTGATAACAAAAACAGACAGTTTTTCGAAAAGTAAACTGTGTAATATATTTTTGTGAACTTTATTTCAGGAAAAATTGTATATTTATTTTCTCAGTATGAGCTAGTTCTGATTAGACAAAACTAAATTTATAAAATCAAACTAATTCTTTTGGAGCAAAGACTTAATTTTTTTTTTATTGGTGTTGCAGAGATCAATATTTTAATATTTTTAATAAATCTAGCAACATTACATACTTTTTCAAAACTATTACAGAATAATCCCAAAATTTTGTAAAAGCTTGTCATTAATGTAAAGTTTTTTTCTAATGTTTAAAATAAGTTTATTATACAGTTAAGTAAAAAGAAAATAACTCTAAAACTGTTCCGAGTCACAAAGAACGTGTATGAGAATTTTCTGTTGCAAATAATTTTAAATGCAACATAATCATTAACATTTTCGTAAAAGTTTTAACAGTTTCAAAGAGTACCTAGTAAGTGGCAAATTTCTAAGCCACTACATTGTATTAAAATTTATATTCATAACAAAAACGCTCTTATATTTTTTAGTTTTAGATTTTTTTTCAACTGTGTTAAGTTTATTTTAACTAAGGAACACATATGATCTTGAGAAGGCTGTGGAGGAACTCCAAAACGCCGTCACAAGATCATATGAATATAGCTGTCCTATCAAAGTGAGGTCCGACAAGCACACCGTACCCTGGTGGAGCAAGGAACTCACGCAGTTGAGGGGACAGACAAGAAAACTTTTCAATAGAGCAAAGCGGACAGGAGAGTGGGAGGCTTATAGAGCAACCCTCACTGAATATAATAAACAAATTAGGAAAGCGAAGAGAGACTCATGGAGAAAGTTCTGTGAGGATATTAACAGTGTCCCACAGTGTGCTAAACTCCAGAGACTTCTCTCTAAGAATGGAAATACGAAACTCGGGTCTCTTAAAGCACCGAGTGGGGAATATACTAAAACTGGAAGGGAGACATTGGAATTACTTCTAAATACTCACTTTCCAGGCTCCAGGTTATTAAATCATGGAGCAGAGGGTAACGACCGGGTCTCGACAGAACTGGGAGGTTGCCAAGATGGTGGTGAGTCAGTCACGAATAAGATGGGCAATAAGTTTTTTTGACCCATTTAAATCACCAGGAGCGGATGGAATCCTACCTGTACTGTTACAGCAGGGAGTGGACTGTCGAGCTCCGGTTTTAATTCACGTCTTTAGAGCCAGCATTGCACTTAGTTATATACCGCTGGCATGGAGATCGACGAACGTGGCGTTTATTCCTAAACCAGGGCGTCCATCGTATGCCCAGGCAAAGGCATATCGCCGGATAAGTTTAAAATCTTTCCTCCTGAAAACGTTGGAGAGAATAGTTGATAGGCATATAAGGGACGGGGTGTTGAGGGCAAATCCTCTGCACGGGTACCAATACGCCTATCAGGCAGGCAGATCAGTCGACACAGCCCTTCATAGCCTAGTCTCTAGGATAGGGAGGGCGATGGACGACAAAGATCTAGCTTTGGCAGCTTTTTTAGATATTGAAGGGGCATTTGATAATACACCTTTCGAATCTATTAATTCGGCAGTTCGCAACAGGGGCCTTGATGACACTTTGTGTCGTTGGATAGATACCATGTTGAGAAACCTGACAGTAACAGCTACCCTTTCGGGAGAGACTTTCAGGTGTAAGGTAGGCCGGGGCTGCCCCCAGGGAGGCGTACTGTCTCCCTTGTTATGGGGATTAGTGGTGGACGGCGCACTGGAGGGCTTTAATCGAAAGGGATTTTATACACAAGGCTATGCGGACGACTTAGTCGTTCTCATAGTCGGAAAACATAATATTATCGTTTCAGAACTCATGAAAGAGGCTTTGAAATGGATAGATGACTGGTGTAAGGGGCAGGCACTGTCAGTAAACCCTGACAAAACGGTCGTAGTACCCTTCACCAGGAGAAGGAATTTAACTGGACTCTCTGAACCTATGATAGGAGAGAGGAGCATTACACTTTCCAGGGAAGTAAAGTATCTAGGAGTGATACTGGATAATAAGCTTACCTGGAATGCGCACTTGGAAAAAGTGGTGAGTAAGACGAGGCAGACATTGTGTGTATGCCGTCGCCTTATTGGAAGCACCTGGGGACTGAAACCAAAGATGTCATACTGGTTGTATACGTCGATAGTAAGACCTAGGATCCTTTACGGCGCTGTGGTTTGGTGGCAGAAAACACAACAGACCACAGCGAGGGACAAACTGAATAGAATTCAGAGATTGGCCTGTTTAGGTATAACGGGGGCGATGGCATCGACCCCGACAGCTGCACTAGAAGTCATGCTAAATCTGCCACCGCTGCATATAGTGGTGGAAAGAGAAGCGCGGCTAGCAGCATATCGACTCAGGAATAACAATGACTGGAGGGGTGGTTCCCACTCCAGGATCATAGACACATCTATATCGGAACCAGCTTTAGGGATGGTATCCGACAAGATGGTTCCAAGGTTTCACTTTCACAAGCCATTTGAGACTCGAATAGAGGATCAAAGCAAGTGGGAGGAAAGGTTTAATACCCTGGAAAGGTGGAGCCTAGTATGGTTTACAGATGGCTCCAAAATGACCAGAGGGACGGGTGCAGGAATATATGAACTCAGACCCAGATAGAGTGCAAGCTACAGTCTGGGGGAGTACCCCACTGTATTCCAAGCAGAAATCTTCGCGATAATGGCGTGTCTGGCAGATAATGTACGTAGAGGTTACAGACGTAAACTCATATATATATTCTCTGATAGTCAAGCTGCAATTAAAGCTTTAGCCGCACACAAGGTAAGTTCAAAACTGGTGTGGGATTGTTTACAAATGCTGACTGAACTGGCCACCAACAATACATTCAGACTGTGTTGGGTGCCAGGGCATAAAGGCATTTGTGGAAATGAGAAAGCGGATGAACTTGATAGGAAGGGATCCGAGACAGAGTTCATTGGCCCGGAGCCGTTCTGTGGCACATCTCCCAGTGTGGTCAGGCGGGCTCTGGGCAAATGGACTGAGACAGAACACAGGAAATACTGGACTTCAAGGCCACGACATAGCCATTCTAAGGAGCTTATGGAGTATCCTTCGAAGGGAAGAGCGAATGAGCTACTGAGCTTGAACAGAATCCGGCTCAGGAAAGTGACAGGACTCATAACGGGACACTGTCACTTTAGGAAACATCTACATAAGCTAAAGCTTGTAGACAGTCCGGTCTGCCGAGGATGTGAATCGGCGGATGAAACTTCTCTGCATATCCTGGGCGAGTGCCCGGGATTTGCACGTAGTAGAATGGCGCTCCTTGGGAGACCCTATTTGGAACCCAAGGAACTGAGAGAAGTATCAGCAAGGAAGCTTTTGGACTTTGTAAAAAGGACAAATCTACTTGCTGAAAAGGACTGGTAGTGGGAAGCACAATAGGCCTAATTAGGCCGCAGTGCTGTGGGACTTTTCAAGGATCAACCACTAGATGAAGAAGAAGAAATTTATTTTATACTAAAAGATACCTTGAAAATGATTTGACTTTTTGTTAAAATAAGAGACATCTTTTTAAAATACAATTACGAATCAAATAAATTTATCGAATATCCTAAATATTCAGCATTTGCAAATGAAATAAATATCTACTAAGGTATTATGTCCCAATTGAAGGGTTCCTTCATTAGAATACACCTTGTATAAGCATTTAAAAAAATATATCGAAAGTGGTATGTTACTTAATTACTTCTCTCGTACATACATATTTTCCTTAAATTTTGAATTTTAACTGACTGAAATTTTTTTATAAAGCCGACACCACGAGCAAAGATACGTCAAGAAAAACCTGAACACCACGATGATAATCAGAAAGATAATTTTACTAAAAAATCTGTTAAAAAAATTTAATATGCTTTTTAGAGAATGAATTTAGACTTGAATTTGAAACAAAACAAATATTTAAATGGAGATAAATTAATTGAATAATGGCACCAAAAACTAATTTTAAATATTTTGGAAGACTGCTGACATGAGATGAAGCTTATTTGGAACTTTGTTCATGACTGAAACATTTAAATGAAGGTCTTAAGAATGTTAGAAGTATACAGAAAAGTCCATGCAAGCATGCTTTACCAAATTTTCCTCATGTTGCATGTTACATGTTGCCAAAATATTGACGTTCCGCCTTTGATTCGTTGCAACAGAAATAAGAGAAACATTTCTATACATCTAATAATTATTTTAATACATGCCCGGAAACCTTGCCTTTAGATATCAATCCACCAAATATACCTACCAGCACCAGCCAAATTAGATTCCATTCTAACTGTGACTTAATAATTGCCAAGATAACACGAACTTGAAGCATGTATTAACCGTCACGTTAGAATGTACGTATTAATTTGGCGTAATTCCCAGACGGAATAGAAAATTCATTCGATTCCCCCAGACCAATGCAGCAATCCTGCTGCAGGTTGTTAATAGGACCGGCGTTAATAATGTAGATATATGGTTTAACACCAATCAATATTATATCGCTGTCTCCAAACTGTTCTCTGTTGAGTCTAGCACTGGAAAGTGATCCCACAGAGTTGGTATTTATTAAATAATTGTTTATCGAAATTTGAGGCGAATTTACCAGACTACCAGAATTGTTATAGAATTGGAGTTGAAGAGGATATTGTTTTATTGTTTCTATTCATTTAGTTCAATGAAAGTCACTGGATCTTTTTTTTATAAAATTTTGATATAATTTGAAATCCTAGAGTAAGATAGGCGTGTCGGATAATGTTTTATTGTTTTACTTTTGTAAACTTTTAAGTTTACAATTTCATACAAAAACTGATATTAGAGTATATATAGTACTGGAGCAAAGGGTGCATATAAAAAATGAACTGTATTATATTCCATTATGAGATAATGAAAAAAAGCAACTTTTTTTAAAAAGTTATGTGATGTCAAATTGTGTAAACTAAAAATATTTTTGCAATCACCGATGATGTTAATATATTTGGTTAAATTTTGATACCATAAATAGTGTCTTGCATGGCTGTTTTTTACAAAAATTTTTATAACGTACCACTGCAAAAACTGCTATATTAAACTTAAAATGACCAGAATCTAAATAATTCTGAGACAGAAGTAACAGCTACTCTCCAAATGTATTATTTTCTTAAAACTATATTAAAGCCACCTTCAGACGATATGGGTACTCGCCAAACATTTGTCAAGCATAAATGTGTCAAACATTTGGCTAAAATGGCCAATTAAACACGATGTGAAATATGAACACATGATAAATAGCTTTGACAAGTGAAGACATGCCTTAGAATATATAGGCTTTTTTCGCGAATGAAGTCGTATGTTGTAGTATGTGTAGTATGAGAATAGTCAGTCATTTAAACTACTATGTGACGTCACAAGTTTAGATCAAATGACTGAACTCCTCGCCCTTCAGCTGAATATTCTATTGGTAGGTATATTCAACTAGCATTGTCAGAAGGTAACTTAACCTTTTTCTTTTTGACATTTTGTTTGAATGAGGATAAAAATCGTTCAGCAAAATGAAGGATTCTGATACGACTGTGGAAGTGGTCAGTTTAAATTTAAACTTTAGAGGCACAGATGTTTTAGTAAACGTAGACGTTGAAACGGCAAATATTTTACTTAATGGTAAGATTAATTTTTTATATGGGACATATTTGCCATCCACTTTGCTTCAGGATTATCCTCTTTTTTTTGTGACCTAGGCCAGAGATAATATTGGTGGAATCATTTGTAATTCAGGTCTTTTTCGTATGAATTACATAAAAAACCGACCTAACCTCTTCCTAGTTTAATTTTTTTTATAGAAAATTTAAAAACACATATATGGGGGGCCTTGAAGCAAAATGGGCTGTTTCTAGGCACTTTTTCTGGATCTGGAATAGAGAATATATGATATGATTCTCTAAACTTATAACATAAATAAGGAACATCATCATCCTCATTCCACAAAAATATCAAAAAATATAGAGCCATGTCCCAATTTCTGTTTTGTAGCCATTGACATAAATGACCAAATACCATTCTCTTACGATAACGATTATGTCGAATATTCGCATATCTTACAACATCAGAATCTACATACTTTTCACCCTTTTAAAATTTGCCACTTAAAAATATTCCAAAGAAAGCATTGATATATTCCTTTAGTTTTATTTGAAGCAAATACATATATTATATAGTGAGATAACACCAATTCCCACAACACTAGATTAATGGAAGCAATAAAGGATGACAAATTATGGTTAGAAGTTAGAACTCATATGTCAAAGTCGTCAAAGTACATATGACAGGCTGCACCACTGAATAGTGAATATATACATTTTCGCGATCTATTCAGGTTAGAAAAGATTAGAAATAAGATTAAAAGAGATAGAAACAGTAACTACAAGTCAGACGTATTCACCAATATTCACTCGCGAAAAAAAGCCTTATATATCGATATACATCTACACGATATGACATTATTTGTTTACGTATGGAGAAAATAGCTATTTCTTCACTTTATTCAGTGTTCCTAGAACACATATATAATTATTATAATTATAGGTTTTCCATACGTGGATGTTATGTTGAAAAGTGATTCATGACTTTATGATTGATTGATTTTCCTTTTTTTTTTCTTCACGGGTATACCTGCAGTCCCTACAACCTGTTGATGGACATATACAGGCACCCACGGTATAGATCTACTGCAGCGGGATTCGAACCTGAAGCTGAATACTTAGATCTATCCAGTCTAATCTTTGAGTCGCATTTTTGACACATCAAGTACCGCATCTCCTATTACTGCACTACTACATTTTGGAATTTAACTTTACTAAACGCAATCATCTTAATGGTAAAGTCATCTTAACTTTAAATTATATTAATTTAGGTTATTCAATGGCTTGGAATTGATATATTTTTATAACATTGCATCAAACTTTGTGCGAAATTGATACATAAGTGAAATAAAAACCGTAATTAATGTATTGATGTATCTAGAATGATAAAACAATTATTCTACTTAGCTAATATTATAGGTATTAAAATTGTAATATAATTTTTTGCACGTACTCCAAATAATAGAGCATAACTTTAAATAATAATAAGTTTTGTATTAATCAAGAGGATAAATATAGAGAAACTATTAATAGAATCCTGATGCAATAGAGATATTGATTTATATTGCTATAGCTATAGACTTCTAACCAGCTTCATAGGTATAAAAGTAAAATCAGACTTTACATTATTTGTTCTAAAATAAAACTACATTTGTAACATCAAAGGGTGAAACACTATAATTGGAATCTTTAAATATCTTTCCAAATTAATATTAATATTGTTGCGCACATTACTGTGAAAATCTTTTATTTTATTGCACTTAAACACACAGTTATCCATATAATTATGCATAGAACAAAATCTTCACTTGGTTCTCTTCTGCAGATCCAGATTTGGAGAGGTTCCCATCAGTACAAAGTCAATTTATGTCTTATTCTCTACAGTGATATAGATCATTGAATGCGTTAGTGAATAATAATAATTATTATATGTTTATCATCTCATTCTTACTATTAAAATATATATTCGTGGAAAATTTCAAATATAATCGTAATAAGAAAAATGTCACTGATATAATCAATTACACCTTCTACGTGGCGTATGACAAATATTTGTCGAATGACTTCTTTATCTGAAGACGGCTTAATATTGTATAAGTATATTAAATCTGAATTACTGAAATTACCCATGGAAATTAAAATACAAAGGAGATTTTTGTTCTAAGAGTAGTATTATAAAAATAAAGAAGGAAGAATTTATGACCATGAATAGTGACGTACTATATCAATTTAAATCAATCAAATCAAAAAGTTTCACACAAAAATTATAGGGCATCAAGGTGGCCATTGAAAGGTCCATATTACGACTTCCGGTCTAGACCGTAAGGTTTTGTTTTTAGACCGGAAGTTGATTTTTTTATGGAAACACCCATTTCTTACCACGGATTTCGATTGAAAAACAAAAAAAGACTATTTGTTCTTATTATTTTTTCTATTTAACCTATATTTTGGCCATAAAATGTCCATAAAAACAAAAAAAGACTATTTGTTCTTATTATTTTTTCTATTTAACCTATATTTTGGCCATAAAATGTCCATAAAAACAAACAAAAATCTTGACACAAGAGAGTACCTTGATATCTGATCTTGTTCTTGAGGTTAAGTTTATATCTTACTGTAAAACTTCCCGCTCTTGTAATTTCTGAGGTCAAAAAAGAGGGTCCCATTTAAAATTTTGAACTTAATCTTCAAACAACCTTGAAGTCAAGGTCAAGGTCATTTTAAAGGTCATGTCAAGTTTTTTTTTAGTGATCCCAATAAAGTACTCCGTAGTCTCAAGATTTTTGTTGTTTCTTTGTTTTTATGGCCATTTTATGGCCAAAATATGGGTTAAATCGAAAGAAATAATAAGAACAAAAAGTATTTATTTTTCGTTTTTCTATCGAAACCCGTGGTGCTTCCATTTAAAAAATCAACTTCCAATCTAAAATCACCATTTCCGGTCTAGACCGGAAGTCTTAATATGGACTTTTCAATGGCTTCCTCGGTGCCCTATAATTTTTGTCTAAAACTTTTTTCGAAATAATCGAGTCCAACCGAGATATTATTTTGTCTCAAGATAAATACCCCACCCGATATACTATTAAACAATACAATTAATTCTGATTAGATCTATACTCAAAACCTTATAGTATTTCCTTTAAAATGTGAATAACTGTTTATTACTGAAATTACAGAAATCTTTCTTTGAAAAATCTGAAAAAGTGAGTGAAAACTTGTTGAGGTTTTGTATCACAATACAAAAAAATCACCAGGAAGCAACGCGATCAATACAACGTTCTGTCAAGTTTACTGTAATGTGAAAATACTTACAGCTGCCTGCCACCCCCAGCCGGGCGTTGCGTTTTCCCGCAACCACTGCGGCGGTTCCACCACCCCCCGAGAGATGGCGTGGACGGTAGGTTCATCACCTTCAGAGGAAGATTCGCATTCAAAAGATTTCATTATTGCTAATTAATAAATAATAACATCAAGGACAGTTCCTGCACTATTTTAAACCTCTTTGCATCCACCTTTTCACCACTAGGTCTTGCAATCACTGTGTTAACTGAACTCCATCTCAACAGATGTTTCTAATAGTTTATAGTAAAAAGTAAACAAATTTTATAAGACTCACGTTCATTTGTTGCAACTTTTGGATACATTTGTGCGATCTACATCCCTCAGAATACAGCATTCTAGTTATTTATTCGTAACAACACACTACCCATCTTGTATTTTCGATTTAACACCACATTATTTATGAAGGTTGTGATTTTAATAATATTACTTGGGAGTTTTTATTATTTATTTGTATTTTGGGCACGGTTAAAATTAATCTTAAATACAAACTAAACCACCACAACACTAGGCGAAACTAGAGTTGAAAAATTGACAGATGCGACCCCATGAGAAGCATTATAGGGGTTAGGAAGCAGGGACGTAGATTGCGAGGGGAGGGGAAGATTATAAAGTGTGAAGGATAACACTACGATTCCAAATGAGGAAACCCACTCTAATTCTAAAGAGTAAACAGTCATTTATAATAAAGGGTAGTTGTTTGTACTTAAGGGGAAGTTTTCACTAACATTTTTTGGAACTTTCTAAGATTGTGAGTCGCCTAAAAACGTTTAGCATATTTGGCACTGATAATTTAAACATGTTTTAAATATATTCAAATATTCAATGATATGGAACAGTATCGTCCCTATTATCACGTAGAGGCGTCTATTTTCTACCATACTTTTTGCATTTGGGAGAAACATTTCTTATGGCATTTCTGCTATTTGGAAATTTAAATTTCGACAGTCATTTAACCTTTCACCGGAGATATACCGTTATAAAAAAGGTACTATTACTTTTTATACTTAAATATAATATTTGTTTCGTTCGTTTTCTTTTCTATTATATTATTGTATGTATGTATGTAACAAATTCTCTTCTGTGGGCCAAATAAACGTTGCAATTTAACCATAAAATATTAAATACTACACGCGTCCAATACACGGATGTAGTTAGGAACTTGTAGAGTCGCGACAATGGAGAAGAATAACAGTTACAATAACGTGAACAATGCAAACGAACATTCCATAAAAGGCGATTCCTGGATTGTACGTTATGGTAAAATAAAAATAAAACTGGAAAATAAGGCAACAGTATTCGATTAGAGAATTGGAAAAAATGCAGAACCTGCCCTGCAGATGTTCCATTCTTGTAGGATCGTGTTGTCATTCCGACTTGGCTACTTTTCATTATTACGTCAAGACGTAAAAATAAATAAATACCTTCTGCGCTATTCATCGTTACAATGACGTGTACTGAGGGGAAAAATATGTTTTGTTTACCGGTTTGTTTAAAAAGTAGAGAAAATTCTATAATTAGCACGCATTTTCTAATGTGTAGATGAAATAACAACAACAAATTTGTAGGAGATTTTTTCATTGAGTTTAATAGAAGCTGTATTATATGATAGTCATGAGTCCCATCATATTGTTGCTATTTGTTGTAATCATTTGTTTGTCTTAATATTATTGTATTTTCTTATTTTTGTAAGGACAACGTACCTAACAAATTTTATGTACAGGAAAACGTTTTGATTGTTACTCATCTCCTTCCACCTACTGCAAATTTAAAAATAAATAATAAACGCATTCACATATCCCATTCCTTTACCATACCTGATCTCATGGGTACAATAATAAAAACTAACTGCAAAATAAATATATTTTTGACATTATCTTTAAATATGTACGTATTACCACAGACAGTATAGCTTATCGCCACAGACTGCTACTTAAATGCTGGAAATTGGCAACCCGAAACGGATGCAGGGTCTCCTTAGCCGGCATCCAGAAACAAATCTGGAATTAAAAGAATAATATCATTAAACTTAGTTTAGCTGCTCGCGAGAAAATCTGTTTCGAAATTGGGGCTCATCTTTAGTGGTGCTATAATAGGGCGATTGTCACCTTTTTAGACATTATATAAAATGAAATAGTAAGGAAAAATCTTGACTCGCATTTCTTTATTTTTGTATGAAATCATTATTTAACTCGTAAATTAAAAAATTGTAAAAGTAAAACGAATTTGGTGGACAGATGTAATGTACTGATTATGCGCTATCTATTAATAGGAAGCTCAACTAAAATATGATACCACCACAGACAATGTAGCTTATCGCCACAGACTGCTTGTTAAATGATGGAAATTGGCAGCCTAAAATGGATGCAGGGTCTCCTTAGCCGGCTTCCAGCTATAAAATTTAGCGTGGTAACTCTTGTACTTATTAATAGGCGGCAGTTCCAGCGGTGGCTTTGTTGCGAAGTAATAACTGCTAAATAAATTTAATGCTTTCAATTATGTAATTAAGGAGATATGGAACTTATGTTCTGTTTGGAAATCACATTTACCTTAAATGCTAAATAAAATAAATCAAGTTAGAATTAAAACTATGAATTTACCTACTTAATTATTTATTTTATATCACCTTGGAATGAGAAAATTCGAAAACTCGAAATTAATGTTTTTAGATTTGTACGTCGACTTCCATATGGTACGATATCAAAACCAATGTTTAAAAAATTGCATTATACAGATTGTGTATCCTTAGATGGGTACTGCTCCCTTATGGTTGATTTCTTTAGATAGGTAAAATAATTATTGACACAAATGTTGCATATCATCGATGCCATTGGTAGTGCTCATATTTGTGACACAAGGTGTTCAAAAAAATTAACACAGTGTAAAATTACTGGCACCTCAAGGAGTAGTTGAATACGAAATTTATTTGAAAACAACAAATCATCAGTCAATACTGAGATAAGATAATGCGTTCGCCACTGCTGTTGTAATTTTTGACAAACTTTTTTGTTCTTCGACATACTAACTTCGGACCTTTTGCATTCAACGCAGAACGGACAATTGTTAAACAGCAGTTGTGTTTCTTGAGTAGCGGTTTTATGTACGTGTAGATTTTTGATGCACAGAAATTGAAAACAATGCTCTCGAATGCTATAGGGTGTTTTACGAATGTCTCACGTGATTATACTAATTTTTTTTTTCAGCATATAAGGTCCTCCTCACACACTTTTCACACTTCATAATAGTGTAGTTTATTTTACGCATTTTTATACTGTAATTAATTGTACTACTAAAATTTTATATGCTGCCTTAAAACAATTATGACTATGTAGAAATGAGAAGTTAAATAATTACGTTGTCACCTCAGTTGATAAATAGTTGCTTTATTTTTGAGGTACTTATATGAATGCGCCAATTATTTTCTAAATTAAATGTCGCAATAACTTTAACTGAAAAGAGGGAAATAGATAACGAACATTTTCGATCTAAATTTTACGTTAGAACGCCACTGGTCCGTATATGTCAGTTTTATTATGAACACCCCTAACTAAAGCACGAGTGCTAAAGAGAACAAAAGAGGAAGCTGTCACCATAGCAACCAGGGGTTGAGCCACTGCAAAGTGCTGCCGTTTAGCGGAATTCAATTAAACTAAACGTGTCCTTTGATCCTGACCGCAAACGAATGACTAGCGACAGTTCCACAGGCAAATCACATACAATTGCCTTTTATGAACAATTTAATCTTAAAATTGTTATTTTCGAAAGTGAGAAATACGTATTTGAAAACATGCTTGACATTTACGGATGTTTAGTTGAAAATTTAAAAAAATAAATAATTAACGGCAATAATAAAACGCATTCCATTCAATTTGTCAAAATACAGTGTGTCCTTGTTTTTGGTGGTAACAATCATTTAAATTCAAAAAGGGCGGTGGAATCAAGTTAATCTTTTTATGGCAATCATTTGCAACTAAGTATTGCTTTAGAACTATTGTAAAGCCTCCAAAACACCAAATAAATATAGGTATTTTCTTTAAATTTTTAAATTACTTTTTTAGATGAGTTAGAATAGCCTTATCGTGTTCTATTTTCAATTTCATGGCATAATAGACACACACCTCAAAGTTCTATTTTACATTTTTTTAAAGTTCATCAGCGCAAAGAAAAATAACCATATTTTCTTCAAATTTTATACACAACTATTTTAAGAGGATATAGAACAATCTTACATTATTATTTTTAAATAAATAATAAAAGAAATCCCAAATATGATTTTCTGAAAAAAGCACTACTGGAAAAAATCATAGTAGGCCAGGCATTCGTGACAATGGAAAACCAGTAGTTGTCAAATAATGATTTTTCAGGATCGTGTCCATAAAGAAATAGTCTCACTTAATTCCGCTAACTTACTTTTAAGGAGGTATTAAAATAAAAAAATAGAGACAAAGTTTTTTCATTTTATTAAAACAGTGTATACAATAACATAATTAAGAGTAATTCAGTAATATCTAATTACTTCGTAATAGAAAAATGTAATATACGTTTGTTTCCACCTATTTTATTTTACATTTTGCATTTGAAGAAGAGAAAATATATTTAACTTTGAAAAAAGTACATTTAACACAAATAAATGAAAAAAAAGTTATGTCAGAAGTGGGATTCGAACCCACGCCCACAGAGTGGACCAGAACGCTCGAAACCTATGGAATAGGCAAGGTAACCTTGAGTCTGGCGCCTTAGACCGCTCGGCCATCCTGACATTGCGTTTTTATTCGAATAAATTATATAAAAACCTATTCTATGATTTGCTAACTAATTTTTTCATAAATTTGATATAGTTAATATTTTTATTTCTCTACACATTATTAAATAGTTAAAAGTATTTCAAAACAGACTGTTTAATTTTCCCATTAGAGATTTTATTTAATTCCCTTACTACCTGCCATCTAACAGTTCCAGTGTAAAGCTGACTGTTGCTACAGTATTGCATAGATGGCCGTAGGGGTTCGTTCAGTTAAGATAATTGTTCCAGAAATGTAAGTTGCATAAAATGGAACAAATAACAATTAACAACGTTTTACATTATATGTATATTGTAGTAATTC